GGGCGGGGCGGGGTTGGCGCTCGGGCTGTTGCTGTTGCCGCCCGAGCCGCGGTTGTTGCTGCCACCCGAGCCGCCGGCGTTGTTGGCGGCAGCCGCGACGGCGGCGCCGAAAAAGCCCGCCGCGGCGGCCGCGGCCGGCGCGGCAAACTCTGGCAGAAGGCCCATCGCCGCCGCCCCAAATCCAGGGCCCGCGCCGTCCACCGCCATCGGCTCCGGCCCCGCGCCGCCGACGCGCGCCGCTGCGCCGGCCGCGGCCGCCTGGTGGTGCCCACCCGGCGTGCGGGGCAGCAGGCCCGCGCCGGCCATCCCCAGGGGCTGCGCCGGCGCCGCGCTGCCGGCGCCCGCGCCTTCGGCGCAGGCCCCGCCCGAGCCAGACCCAGTCGCGGCGTTGCCCCCTGACGACGACTTGTCGCCCCCGCCGCCGCCGACTGCGCGGTTGAGAGTGCCCGCGCGCCCGTGCTGCGCCGTGCTGTGCAGCTGGTCCATCAAGGTGCTGCTGCTGCGCGCGCTGCTGCCGAGAAGCTGCGGCGCGCCGTTGGCGATGGCGCCGTTGGTGGCGGCGACAGCCTGTGGGGCCGGCGCCACTGCCAAGGGGGCCGCGGCCACAGGCACGGGAGCTTCCAGGTGCGGCTGCGGCTGCTGCTGCTGCTGCTGCTGCTGCTGCTGCGCGCGTGGTAGCGGCGGCAGGCGCCTCGGGGGCGGCGGCGGCGCCGCCGCGTCCTCGTTGCGCGCCGCTTCCGCCTGCTGCCCCGTCTGCTCCTGTGTCAGCTGAGGCAGTTCCTGCTGCTGCTGCTGCTGCTGCTTGTCACCGCTGTGGTCTGCCGAGGGTCCCTCACCGCTGCCCGAACGCGCGCGGTCTGCCTGCAAAGCCTGCGCCGCCCGACCCTCATACACGTCGCCTTGCCCCCGCTCGGCCGCGCCCTGCCGCGCCGCCGCGGCGGAGGGCGGCCCCAGCTCATCCGGGAGCATGAGCATCGGCAGCAGCGCCGGCCGCCGCGCCCCGCGCGCCCCGCCGGCGGCGGCAGCGGCGTCCGCGCCGGCGCCTGCGGCGGG